ATTTCTAACAAGCGTTTTTTTTATAATTGTTTTATTTGATCATGTGTAGGTCTTTGACGAAAGGGCTGCCAACTTTGAGAACCACGCCAATAAGCTTGGCACCACAGCAGAGAAGGCTGCTGCTGTCGGCACTGCCAACAAGAGCACAGTGGAGGGAATCCAGGCTGCCGTCAAGTCAACAAGAGACTTAACACCGCAAGTATGTCACGGTTTAGTGTTTATATCTGTTTCCGTTTGTGTCTGCCCTCCACTCTGCATCACGAGTCACAGAGCTTAAGTGTTTCTCGCTTCTTCAGCCAAGTCTTTAGCAGTTGTCATTGGACTGACAATTAATGGCTTGGATTGTTTTGTTTTTTTCCTAGGTGGTATCTGCTGCTCGTATTCTGCTAAGAAACCCTGGCAACCAAGCTGCGTATGAACATTTTGAAACCATGAAGAATCAGTGGATTGACAATGTGGAGAAAATGACAGGTGGGTGTGCCATAAAGATGCTGTAAATTCCCTGATCACATCCATTTCATACCTCCTGGCGTATTTCCCGGTATAAACATGTTGTGGATGTTTAGGTTTGGTGGACGAGGCCATCGATACCAAATCTCTGCTGGATGCCTCAGAGGAGGCCATCAAGAAGGACCTGGATAAGTGCCGCGTGGCCATGGCCAACCACCAGCCTCAGATGCTGGTCGCCGGCGCCACCAGCATTGCCCGCAGAGCCAATCGTATCCTCCTAGTGGCGAAGCGAGAGGTGGAGAACTCCGAGGATCCTAAATTCAGGGAGGTGGTGAAGGCTGCGTCTGATGAACTGAGCCAGACAATTTCTCCTATGGTGATGGACGCTAAGGCAGTGGCTGGAAATATCCAGGATCCAAGTAAGTTAATGTTGCTAATAGGTTTTAAGATTATGTTTCATGTGAATGTGGACTCTTTTGATTGGAGATAAATGTGTTTTTTAATTTTGTGATTACCAGGTCTTCAGAAGGGCTTTCTGGACTCAGGTTACAAGATTCTTGGTGCTGTGGCGAAAGTCAGGGAGGCATTCCAGCCCCAGGAGCCAGACTTCCCACCACCTCCTCCTGAACTGGATCAGCTTAATGTAAGTGCTCAAATAAGAACAACTTTGAATTTGGCAAGTCATCTGAAGCTGCTTTGGTTTAGTGTCCAAAACGACTGCCAAACCATAATTACTTTAACTTGTCCTCATAGCTTAATGATGAGGCAGCACCACCCAAACCTCCTCTTCCTGAGGGTGAGGTTCCTCCCCCCAGGCCTCCACCCCCAGAGGAGAAAGATGAGGAGTTCCCTGAGCAGAAGGCTGGTGATATGGTTAACGAACCCATGATGGTGGCTGCCAGGCAGCTCCACGATGAAGCCCGCAAATGGTCCAGCAAAGTAAGTGAACACTGCAAACGTAATTACGGACTTTTACTTTGAAATCCTATACTTTCAGATTAAGTGTGTTCCTGTCGTACCTCATAGGGAAATGACATCATTGGTGCTGCCAAACGAATGGCCTTGCTCATGGCGGAGATGTCACGTCTGGTGCGTGGAGGCAGCGGAAACAAGCGTGCCCTCATCCAGTGTGCCAAGGACATCGCTAAGGCCTCTGATGAAGTCACACGGCTGGCCAAGGAGGTGGCCAAGCAGTGTACTGACAAGCGTATCCGGACCAACTTGCTCCAGGTCGGTTCAGTTGTCTTTATCAGAAGGTTTGCAGTGGCTTTTCACTGTAGAAATACTATATTGTTTTGGTATCAAATGTTTTGACCTTGCCTGACTTTCTGATCTTCTTTCAGGTGTGCGAGCGCATTCCCACCATCAGCACTCAGCTCAAAATCCTGTCCACAGTCAAGGCCACCATGTTGGGTCGTACCAACATCAGCGAAGAGGAGTCAGAGCAGGTGAGCACAGTCTTTATTATGAGTGTCTCAGATCACAATATTCCAATTATTTTTCTATAATAGCTGTTTATAAAAAATTAAAGATTATTCCAGCCTTGCTCATCACTGTATCTCATTTCTTCTCCGACAGGCTACTGAGATGTTGGTCCACAATGCTCAGAACCTGATGCAGTCTGTGAAGGAGACGGTCAGGGAGGCTGAGGCAGCTTCAATTAAGATCCGAACGGATGCGGGTTTCACCCTCCACTGGGTCAGAAAGACCCCCTGGTACCAGTAAGAGAAAGGGCTTCATGCTGGTTCTATCCAGCGGTCCAGGAGGACATTGAATGGACAGATATATACTTTATCAGAGCTATGATATCAGTGCCCCACATCCTAATAAGGGTTTTCTCTTCTAGTCCCATGTCCTGTCTGTAACAGTTGCTGTTCTGGTAGAATGTAAACAATGGGACTATCAGTGCGAGTTATGGGTTAGATCCTCACTGGGAAATTCCTTTTTTTTCCCCTGAAGTGTGTAAAAGTGTTTTAAAGCTTATTTTGACAAATCCCAGGAATATATATGTTTTTGATTAGAGGTTGGATTTCATATAATGCAAGGTTGTTGTTGGCCTCTTCTAGACGCAAACCTTAAGTTAAATTTAAATAACTACATATTCTCAAGACATTTTTATATCTTTGTACTGATAATTTTATTATAACTATCATTCATTCTCCTTTGCTAGGATAAGCACATGGACTTGAGGAGGTGTTACAAGTACAATATAGGCCTACGCTCAGCACACGCAAAATATATTCAGTGGTATTATGCCTGTTTACACTATTCTATATTCTCACAAGTGAAAGAGAAACACTGTTCATTATTTTACATACTGTAATGCAATTGTAGCAGTCTTCATTTTCTTAAGAGCTCTGCCAAAGACATTCTGCCATGATCTTTTGAAAGAATAGTTATCTTTCTTTGGTCCGCAATATGTAATTTTGAGTTTAAAAGCTAGTTTTTCTTTTTTTAGACAAGTTAATTAAAAAAAAGTGACTAAAATTTCAACCAACAGCAGGTAAAGATGAACACTTCTTGTAAGCTTGCAATCAGATCATTCAACTCTTTCTTGGTATGTTTAATGTTTCACATGTTGCATTGAGATTACATGTAAGAAACAGGCTTGTGCTTCACCTCTAGGCCTAATAGCCAAAAAATTACTTCTCTACTTTTCACAGCAAAGCTAACAAAGCTTCAGAGAAGCTCCTCTTGACTGCTGTTTTTTCTTTTCTTCTTCTCCTAATCACTGCACACAGTTGTATGTCTCATGTTGTCTTGTTGTGCACAATCATTTTTTTTTGGGATGTATGAATTGCACACTTCTCCTAGGTAGTCAAGGGAATGACCAGAGTTTAGAGATGAAGCACAGTGTCATCTACAACTGGTGAAATCTTAATTTTATGCTATCACATTTGTTTCAACATGTTTCGAATACACTAAACAATAACTGGCCACTGCTTTGTGGCTACTGTAGTTTATATTATGAAATGCCTGAAGACCGTTGGTGTGAATGTGTCTTTTTAACCAACTGATGTGCCTTGTGAGAGAAACTTTATTTTACAATTGATACAGTTTTCATTTACAGATGTTTTTTGTATCATTTGTAGCAAGGTATGATGGTATTGATTTGTTCAAAACACTTGTTGTACATGATTCTTCCTATTAAGTTACATCTGCTTCATGACTTTTACTTCAAGTCAAATTATGCTCTATGCAAACCTGAGAAAGTTTGTTTAAAAAGGATATCAGCATTATGCAACTTAGTTGGGTTTAAATGGGCCTGGACAACATTTTGCTGAGGCATTGTTCACAATTTTGTAATAAAGCATTTTATAGCACTTTGAGGTGTCTTTACTCTATAATCTCTGTTCTCACCTAAAAATGACAATGAGAGCTGTTGTGAACATCTTGTAAGTATTTGATATAAACAGGCGGTTGCATATATTAACAGACTGTATCTCCGACTTCTTGCTGACCTCTACTACGCCACCTGGATCAGCATGCAGGTATTACGCAGATGTCTCAGTCAACTAAACATCATGTAAATGTGTTTTTTTTTTTGGTCTGAATGAACCCACTAGGGGGCCCTGGGAAAAACAATAAGCCACTGCGGTCCTTACTGACCCCTTGTTCTTTGCTTGAGCATTATATCCTGTCACTGTCAAGTAGGCCTACCCATGAAATACAGTTCCCATGGCAGACTACACATGGCAGCTTAATTATATTTTGCCTAGAGCCCCAAAAACCAACTGGAATTTTACGTGCCGTAAGGTTGCTCTGTGTGTTGTGAGAATATAATTTATGCACCAATTAAAACAATGTCAACAAACTGAATAATGGTGATAAAACTAATGCAGGACTAGCCTTAAGGCCCTTCATTTCAGTTTTGCCATATTTCACATTACCACAAAGTAACCCACAATGAACCCGGGGCTTTTTAGGTCCCTGCTTTGTCCACTAAGTAATCCAGCCCTGGCAAAAAAAAAAAAAACTGCATGATTTTTGAAAGGAGTTTGGTTAAAAGCATACATTTACATATTTGATGTGTAAACAATTATGTGTTGATTTTGATGCTGAAAGGCTTATTTAAAGGGTCAGTTCACCCAAATTACAAAGAAACATGTCCTCACTTATACCCAGAATGTGAGATATCCCATTTATTGTTTTATGTCCTTTTATTTTTATGTTTATTTTTGCTTCTTACTGGACAGTAGACATGGACCGTCTATATTTAGACTCATTTTAACTTAAAATTTGCATAATACCATTTGCTGATGCCTCTATTGTCCCCTGTTGGTGAAACAAATTTGTTTAGAGATATACACCATGTAAATGTTCACACAGGGCCCACAGACAGACCAGGTAGACAATATTAATAGAGTTTTGCACACTACCAAACTAATTTGCAATCGATTAAATTACTCCAAACCCACCAACATGCAATGAACAATGGGCCACTGTGGGATATAAATGCAGCAATATCCTATAAATAATGTAAAGTACTATAATAAACAACAGTATCTTGAACTCAGCAGCCTTTTGTCTCCTGCATGCAACGGGGCAGGCTTGTGAAGTTTAATCTAGGTTGAAACAGATGATACAGAAAGCACCGCGATAACGCGAGATAACTATCCCTTTCTGCCACATTGGCTCATAGCTAATAGCGACCATTCTCTGAACATAACCATTAATTTTCCTCCTCTCTCTAGGTTGCATGCTGGTTCTTCACCGCCGTCTGTGGAAAGGGGGGAAAAAGGAAAGGAAAGGAAGCCGCAGCCTCTTCACTCATCCTCCCCGGCAGTGAGCAGTGGCTTCCCGGGCGTCAACACAACAACCGTCGCTGGTCAAACAAATGTCCGACGAGGAGCCAAACATGTCGACTGGGAGGAAAACGGCGTTAAGGTAATTTAAAAAAAAAAAAAAAAACCCCGATAGTATGTGTGTCATCTGATTCGTGACAGTTATCCGCTGTAGCTAACCGTGAATTGACGCCAACGTCGGCGGTTGTTGTGGTCAACCGTCGGCAGGTTGATGAGGCGCTAAGCGGTGTGTGAACCTTTGAACGTTACATCAGGTATTCAGGTTGCAACGGCCGTTAGCGTTTAACGCACAGAATGCTCGGTCATAACGATGCTAACGGCAGCTAGCAGGAGACGGTGGGTTCATCAGTTTGACTGGGAGACAGGAATTGTCGTTACACCTATCATAACATAAATATATATATATATATATTAATAAAATAAAATAAAAATGCTAGTGACGATATTTAATCATAAAATGTAAGAATTGTGTGTTTATTCAGTTTTTTAAAAATATATTTTTTTAAAATTGCAAGCGTGTGAAATATATGGGGAAAAAAAGACCAAGACGTACGAATAATGCATTAAAATATAGGTTACAGTAACGTTAGATATGTATATGTAAGTTATATCAATCGTAATGAAGCACTATTAGCATATGCACAGTGCTGGCAGGCAGCTGGTGTCTTGTTGACATTTTGCATAATGTTTAGTGAATGGTGCTGCATTCACTTGACTTGAGGAAAACTTTCCCATAGTCAGTGCAGTGTTAGTTGTAGTTACTCACAAAATGTAATTTATTACTCTTTTCAGGCATATTACTTTTCCCCACAAATTGATAATTGTGTCCTTTTCTCCCCAAAATACAGACTTATGACGATTAAAATCCAGTTTTGTTTGTTAAAATCAAAGTAATGGAGTATATCCAGCCATTGAATGTAAGCATTTCTATCTTTCAAACCAGTTTCCTGCACGATTACACAAATTAATGCATGGATGTGATTGGATTAATGGATTTCAAATTAGTGGGGGGTGCCTACAATAGTTTTTTGAGGTGCTAACTGTAATATTATTACTGAAATGTATTAGTTTCATTATTAGCTACTGGGGAAAGTAATATTATTACTGTAATATTATTGTGAGTTACTGCCCAACACTGGTCACACGATTATGAGTTTATGTTTAAAGCCAGTAAAAACAGATGAGTAAGGTTTTTGATTTTCAGCACAGTCGATCCAAACTGCAAAGTGCAGATAATCAAAAGCAGAAGAGAAAGAAAAATAAAATCACATGTGCATAACAACGCCTAACAGAGAGAAAACAAACAACTTAATGCTTCAGAAGTAATAAGAGAGCAGATTAGGCCCAAGAGTTAATGTGCATTTAAAGTTGACCCCTGAGAGCATCAGTAGAGTGAGAAAAACACATGGAAGGAAGAAGGAAGTGACCTTTTTCCAAGGGACATTTTGACATACAAAAATAAGATAAGCACGTGTGTAAGTCATAAGATTATTGATGGCTGAATTACACGTTGCTGTTTCAGTTTCGAGGGCCTGGTGCTGTGCGTGCCGGGGACAGAGCCATTGTTAATGATATTAGTAACACCTGTGCTCTTCCTACCATGACCAGTCTTTAAAGAAAAAGGCCTATTTGTTCAGTTGTTGTGGTGGCTATTGAGAGATTCATGTCGCCATAGTAGCATTAGTCCTGCACCCAGGAACAGACACAAGCTTTTGTTCAGAGCATCTTAGGTCTCTGAAGCCAATGGAAAAAGGCTAGATGTGAGAAATATGGCCACAAATGTCAAATAGTCCCAAGGCTACTTTATATTCATTGTGGCCCTTGATGCAGGTGCAAGACAAAAGTACCAACAACTCAACACAGTCAATACTTGTAGCATCATCAATAAAAATCCCAAATATCAATGAATATTATTGATGATAATATACAGTTTCATACAAATTATAACTCAAATGTTGAGCTTACAATGCCAAGTTGCCCATAGGCCCTAATTTGACCTTCCTATATAAATAGCTTATTATTTTAATGTAGCGAAAGGAACAATATATATAATGTGTTATTACCTGAAGTCTGATTTGTCTACACAAAATAAGAGTGCTGACAACTATTAGCAACATTTATTCATTAATTCACATTTATTAATGTTTTATATGTAAAGGAACAATCCATGCTCCAAATATCATTACCAAAATTGTGATTAGAACTGGCAATTGTCTCCCATTTAGATTGAATTCAACACACATTTTAGATATAGAAGAGCAATTAAATCATTAATTTTTTCTTGTGCTATGAAGTATTTTCTATATAATGTTTGTATACAGCTACAAAATAGATATTATTGTATTGTATCAGTTAACAGAATTTGCAAAATGCAGATTTTTTCATATATATCAAACTCAAACAGTTGAACTATATGTAAATAAACATGCAATGCCTCCTTAAAAATTCCAGATTTCATCATTTATTTTACATTTTCTCTGGTATTTGTTTTAAACCACGGGGTCCACTTCCTTTCCCATTGGCATCAAACGCAGCACAGAAAGCTTTGCAGTGATTGGAACATGTGTAGCCAATCATATGCCTAGAATATACTAAGGCCCGCCCATTCTTCCTCTTTCAACCAGTCAGTGTTGGTTAAAGTGCAGCTTTAGTTCCTGTAGTTAAAAAGCACATTGCTTGACAGAGAGGAGGAAGCTGTTGACCATTTAATCATCAGGTTAAGCTGCTGAGATTTCTGACATAATGCCAACTGCAAGGTAAGATCCAAGAGATAATATCCTCCAGTGTTTACACAGGGAACACTTCCACTGTTATGTTTGTCTTTTAACATTTCCTCACAGTGCTGTTTCAATGGGTTGATTCAAAAGAAAGTGTAGACTTTCAGGCTTAAGTTGGAGCAGCTTCAGTGAGTCTGGATCTTCTTACATCCATTCTGATACAGTTCATGTAAAAACCAAAGTGCTGCTGTTATTTCTCCCTGTGATCTCCACCAGACATTCAACACAGTGGTGTCTTGTGTTTTGTGAAAGTTGAGTCACCGGTTATGAAAACTCTGTTGTCAAGAGTAGACTTTGACCACTATAATATCTTGTTGCTGAAGGAAAAAAAAAAACAATTAAAAAAAGTTCAAACAAAATACAGTTTTTCATGCTTTGACGCCTCAACTTAAGTCTAAGCGTGCATTAGCCTAATGCCTTTGAATGATACACTCATGCCTCACATGTGTTTAGATGAGACCATTGATACATCAGTTGTTCAGAGAATGATAATGCTTTATTTAGATCTTTTATATGTGCTGAAGTGCCTGCTTTTCCTTTGAGTAATCTCCATCTGAATGGGGGGAAAAAAAGAATGAATCACTGGTTTTACATTTACAAGTCCATTAGTCTGATATATGAGCTCATGAGTTTGAAATTTAACAGTTAGCATGTGTTGTACTCACATTGAGCTTCGAGAGAAGATCAGGTAACAGAAGCCATCCCTAATAAAAGTTTTACTGATTTTGATTCAACAAATTAGAAACAGATGATCCTATATCACAGCAGATTGTTTGTATCCTCTGTTCGTGCAGAGCCGGTGAGTGGGAGTCTGCATAATACAATATGTTTTTGTCTCCCCACAGTGAAAACACCCTCTTCGGGATGGGAAATCCCTTGCTTGACATTTCAGCTGTTGTGGACAAAGATTTCCTTGATAAGTAAGTCCAAACAGCTCATCTGTTTCCGCTGATATCTTCATATTTCTGCATCTTAAAGCACACTGACGTTATTTATGTATTTATATATTTATTTGCATTATTTCCCGAAGGTTCGGACTGAAGCCGAATGACCAGATCCTCGCTGAAGACAAACATAAAGCCTTGTGAGTCAAAACTTCACCGGGGCACCACGTGCTTCAGTAGTGTAACGCAAAGTGTTAAAATTACGAACCAAATAAGGGATACACTGGTCATTCATACCCACTACTACCATCTTGACACTTAAGCCGTGCTCAAAATAGCCGAGTTATAAATCAGCCCTCTGTAACTTGGAGCCTCAGCACTGGACCCGCCCACATTTTTCCCATGCTGAATTGGTGCCAAACTACATCAAGATGCCTCTGAATTTACTACTGCTTTGAATCTCATAGTATATCTACATTGATATTTACACAGCATGGCATTACATTTACACAAAACCAATTAATTGTTATTATTTATTCAGAGAACGGTTTCACTGAGCACACATGCCTCTTTCCCAGACCCTCCCTCCTTCACATTGCAAACAGATGCTACAGTAATATTATAGCCTTCCTCGAAAACGTAGCTGAAGATGCCACTATACTCTTCTGAACCTGCAGGTAAACATAGGCCGTAAACAGCAAAAGAAGATTAAAATGAAAATAAAAACGAAGCTTTAATTGCTGACTGATCTTACACCGTCCTCTTTGTTTGATAGTGATGATGATGATAGAGTGCAGATGGTGTCTTTTCATGGAATTTGCCTGTGTTAATTTTAGCGCGGACGTAAAAAGTTCACCATCTGTAAGTAAGACGATGGTGAGAAGGGAGAGTTTTCTTTGAAGTCTCCAGGATTAAACAATTTTCACATTTTTAAGTAAATCACATATTTGGGATGTCAACATTTGTTATATGCTTGTCTCTTCTAAATAAGTGTCAGGATGTTTGATTTATGATTGACTGATCTTTAATAATTACCTTGATAGTAAAAGACACTAGAGTTGTAAACCGTGGCCTTTGGTAGTCATTCATTTTATTTGGCACATTCCACACTAGACAGAAACTATACTATATTTCTGGGTTCAGAATAAGAATCATAATAATAAACAGGTGTATTGGTATTTTGATACATGCACAATAAACATAGTAAGCGATAAGAAAAAACAAGTACTGCTAAAGTCAAGAATCATAAAATATTAAATAGAAATACAAAAACCCAATATGAAATGTATATAAAATGTAATTGTATGTATATGTATATGTATGTGTATGTGTGTATGTATAGTATGTAAAAAATCTATCTGTATTTAAGGATCAACTCTATCATAATTCACAATTATCATGATAATTCACAATTATCATAGAGTAAAGCAAGATTTCAGTGAAATTGGGATTTTAAAAGGAACAGACAAGACAAACACAGAAAACATGTTTCGCTTAATATATTTATTTTAAAGTTTTGTCACACTGAATAACGTCTTCCTTTTTTTTAAATCAACATTTCATTTATTTTATTAAATGTAAACAGGGTGTTAACTACAGCCTCTGTGGTGACTCATGGCTTCACTGATAGGATCCCTGAGCTTCTCTTGTCCATGTTGATCACAATGGCGCTTACAGACATTGTGTGTAATATTCACACATAGGCTGTTGCCAGATTGTTTGCCTTCACCTGTCCTTCACTTGCAAGAGTGCCACAAATTACTTTTCTTAGGCCTTTATTTCACCAGGGCCACTCACACAGCACAAATGCTCTTCTACAGGAATTCATTGCTCCACACTCGGGCACATACACACCTCGAAGCCACCCAGTACAACAGTTTTATCTATTGGATGTAAGATAACCGCATAACCCTTATCTGCTGGCCACTGAGCAGCTCCACTTGAACAGTTTGGTGTTGCGTACCTTGCTCAAGGGCAACTCAGTGGTGGTATAATGAGGAAGGACGGACGAGTGCTGTTATTTAACTTTCTGTACCCAATTTCATCCTGCTAGTCCGGGGATCGAGCCTATGTCAGCGTACGCCAACCTTGGTTTTCCCACAATGCCTCCACAGCATGTACTTTTTTTTTTTTTGCTCCACTCAAACTTGATTTTGACATTCAGTCTTTGTCAGGATACTCGTTTGATCAAGACCAGTAATTTCAGATTTGTAACCACGAACAAGGCTACACACAAGAAGCTACATAATTGTACACACTGGCTCAAAGTTCAGACAAAACAAGGGAGACCACACAGATAACCAAGGTTTTGAAACAAAAGAAATGTATTTTACCACTATTAAACTATACAACAGGTATAAAAATATGTACATCAGTGTTGTCAGTAGTGTATTGAGTGTGAGGGTGTGCGCTTACTGTGGTGTAGGGAAAAAGATAATGTGAAAAACAAATGGAAGTCAAAGCAAGAGCCTGCTGGCTGGGAGGGGAGAGATATAACTAACAGGTTCAGCTCCCTATATAGCCCAGCAATCTGGGAGCATGTTAACTCGGGTGTAGCTCATCCTCCAGCCGGTTCATGACAAAGTGGGGGCTCATAAAATTGACTAGTTTGGTAGTTCATCAGTTAGAATCCAGAATATGTACAGAGCTACCGTAAACTGGAGACACATCTTCTGGTACATCGCCATTGTTGCTATTATTAATTTTCCGATCATTTTTAATATTGTGAATTTCTGAACATTAGTCCTAATGCTTTACTCCACAATCTGGTCCTTCGGTGCAGATCAAACATTTGTAAATATTCTCTCTGATTTAAAATAGATTTAGAGCATTACGCAGCCATGGCAGAGTTGCTCTCTGAGTGCTTTCTAGTTTTTATGACATCTAATTTTTCAAGAGTGCATGTTGAACGAACAATTTCCGACCTGACAAGTGAAGAATTCTGTTTTAGTGTCTTGTGTAAACCTTCAAAGCAAACCGTGCATCAGAGCACCAGAGTAATGCATGTACAACATAAAGACAGATCAGTACATCAGACCGTCTGTACCTTTCTTTTTTTTTTTTTTTTAAACAATAGTCTACCTTGTCAGGTCTTGTTACTTGACAAAGGGACACATGTGACCTTGGGCGGCGGCAGCAGCAGCACAAAGCAGCATCATCAGCAGTGTTGTTCTCCTCCAGCACAAAGGCAGCGGTGTTATCTTTAGCCCCACAGACACCGTTCCCTCCACATTCTGCACAAGGTCAGGGCAGGATTAACATGCAGCTTTGGTGGTTTATTCCCAACACAATGCATTTCAATGCATGTCGCCTCCCAATACCACCCACCCCCACCAACATACTCGCCCTCGTGACCATCAATTTATATCTGAATGTACAGTATATGTCGTATTTTTTTTTATCACTTTATCTATTAACTTCTAGCAGTACAGATTACGAAAAAGCTCAAATTTCAAAGTACATAGAGGTCATTCACAAGGTCATCGGTGTATCGAAGAAGAAGAACTTTGACGGAAGTGTTGTGACAAATAACATCATTACTTAAAAGGCCACAATAGACTTACAAGGCTAGTCGACTAACACCATTGTTGTGCTTCTGAATCTACAGAGTGTAACACGATTCATTTTTTCTCCCCATCACCCTGGTGGGAGAGAGATCATTGGATGCAGTGCACTGTGGCCATGCCTGAATTCAATTATCTAGTCACAGCAGAGCCCATATAATCCTGTTGTGGCTGAGAAATTGCCTGCTGTAGAAACCATCAACATCCCTGTTAGTACTGGCTGGGGATTTAATGTTTTTTTCTCTGAATAAGCCTCAACTGTGACTTTTGATGCCTTTTCATTTTGCTTCAAATGTTTCACAAGTTCCAATTAATTCCCAGTATTAACTCTAAACGCTATTCACTGTGAAATCAGAGCTGAAAGGATTTGTTGATTAATTGATTAGTTGACCAACAGAAAATGTCATTTATCAAGCAAAAAACGTAATTAATTAATCAAGAAAGAAATCAGATTAATTCTTAATTAAAATAACATTATTATTAATATTTTTAAATATGTCATAGAACAGATAACTAGTATTATCATATCATAGGAGGGCCACTTCAACATCCAGGTACTACAAGAAAGTGCAGTATTGTGGAAATATTTCCACTACTAACATCATACTTAACAAAACAACTGGAAACAGCCGTCAGTTTGTCGTAGACTAAATTACTAATCGAGTATTTAAATAAATAATAAAGAGATAAAGTAAATTGTTAATGAAAATAATAATTAGTTGAAGCCATATTGAAAACCAAGCGGAGCATCCGCTCTGCTAAAAAAACACTAACATCCTGGGCGACCTCGCTGCCTTGTGGTTGAGACGCATACCTCACAACCACAATGTTTGGTTTGTTTTCCGGCCCCATGAAGTTTGATACCGCCCTCTCACTCTCAAACTCGTGTATCCTGTCTGTATCTATACTTTCTCCTGCGTAATAAAGGCCACAAAATGCTAACTTAGAGTAAAGTATAGAATACCCATAACCGCTCCACTGTCTCCTCCATACAAGGAAGCTTCTGCTTTTCAGAGTTTGCAGTGTGGTGGTCAGAGAGTCTCGTGCTTGTACTGTAACTGCTTTTATTTGGATGTTATTTCCTGTGGTTTTTGAGCTGCAGTTGAAATGGTTGTTTTCAGTAGATGCTGGGTTTTGTTTTTTCCGAGGTTGCCATGTCTGCTTTTGAAATTGGGGTATGAGAGGAAACCAGCAAACCAAAGCGCTGTGTTTGACTTCTTTTATGCCTGCTGAGATGTGTATTCATTTTACATATTGTCAGATGTAATGCTGGAGGTCTTGTTAACTTTTTGTAGTCACTGCTGCCATCATGTGGCTTAAGTTTGGTACCTGCAAGGTGGGGAATATGTTATGACTTTTTAGAATTTGCAAATATTTGGGGTACATATTGTCTTTATCTCAGACAATCAGGCAAATTAGACAAACAATGCATTGTAATTACAGTTGTAATATTTAAAAAATATTTATTTTTTAAGCAGCTGGTTGATATTTTATTTGAACTTTTCACTTTTTTCTTAATATTGAAATTCTTTTGCGCAGTATTATATTCCACAAAAATGGTTGTGTACCCTTTTATGTCCAGCAGGGGGCAACAGTAGCCTGCTGTTTTGACCCCAAGGAGTCTCCATAGGAAACAA